TATGTTATCTAAGAAATATTTTTTTTTTTCATTAAATATAATATGCGCTTGTTTAATATATAACCAAAGAAACCCGACAACTGGTGACGTGTATTAACAATTATATTTTGATATAACATTTAAAATTAAGCTAATTAAAAATACGTCGATTATTATAATTACAAAATAATATTATTTTCATCGTTACGCGCGTGTATTGGTTGTTAAGAAAAATTAATAATAATAAAATAGTATTATACTCACTGGACAATTAAAAAGTTGTATCTCCTGATTTATTACCAACGGTTGTCATTTTGAGTGCATTACTTGTAGAGATTTATCGCTTCGTCCGCTCCCCTAATTCGTCCATATTTACAACTAACGGATTTAAAAAAAAAAAAAAAAACAAGCATTTAAAAATAAATACTTCTAATATTGTATATACTAACAATTAAAATATTTCATTCGAATGTTTTCCCTTTTAAAAATATTTAATGTCAATCGTTAATTCGATGCACAAATTCACACCCCGTAAGATTAAAGCAGTTGTTGAGTATTCACTCGGAGTTAACCGTGTGTCGCAGCACATACAAATATAACTAACATAAAAGCACTAAGAGAATAACATAGGATAACAATTTGCAAATTTACGATAGTAAATTTTTAATTTGTATGAAAATATATTAATAAGGTCATCCTCAGAGAAATGCAATGAACGCGTGATACTTGAATAAGTGTATACGTTGTTGCCACAAGCATCGTTTGTTTCTTCCAATGCTGCCAATAGAAAAAAGAGATAATATATAGATGGGATAATTTTCTAAAGGTAATAAGAAGTCGGACACTTTCTAGGCTTTTTAGGAACTCTTCGTTCTCTCGTGTCTCGGATTAAACTAAGGCTTACCCTATGACAACGCTTATCACAGGATACACGTGGCGCCTCTCTACTTCCATTGTTAGAACTAATATTCCCTATAAGAGCAAACCATTGGTTGATACTTTACAGTTTCCTCCTATTCGTCGACGAAAAAGTAATCCTTTAAAACGACCAATGACAACCTTGAAAAATTATCTCTTAATAAAATCAGCTAATCACGTACATAGACAAGTTGTGCGCCAATATTTAAGTTTGATATTACTTTGTTTCTTAGTTATGAATAAGTATATTTATATAAGACAAAGAAAAAAAAGGTATTGTTATTTTATTTCTTTATATATCTAGATTTAGTATCTTTTTATATCTAGATTTATATTTGATTTGAGAAATATTAATAATAATTAATAAAATTATTTAAATATATTGTTCGATTGTGAGAGTTGATTGAAAAATAACTAACCTATATACTCGTAGGTATATTTATTTTATAAATGCATTCCAGGATGATAGAACTATTTGGCTATTCACAATATAATAGTCCTTTATTTGACAACTGTAATACCGAAACGAATTATCGTTATTAACCAGGTAAATCTTTATCCGAAACCATTGTTAACCGATATACCACTGTACTTTGATAAAAAAAAATGTAAAAATAATCATCCTTTTAATGTGCTTGTTTTTTTTTTGTTTGACAAGACGGTTTCCGAAACCTAATTTTTTTCTATTAAAATTTATCAAAAATGTCTGATATATCGAGAAAAATAATTGCAATTAGTGATCTGGCCAGAAGTACAAAAATAACAGACAAAAAGGTAGAGAGTATAATCTAATAATAATATCTTTTAAAAATATAAGAATGTAACTAAAATTTACAACACATTTCTTTTATTTTTTTTTTTTTTTTCTTTTTATATTTAGAAATGTATTTTGGAATTAATAGAACTCTATGGGAATAAAGAGACAATTAATGAAATAAATAAACATTCTGAAAATAACAGCAATGGAATTGTTAGTTGGTGGAACATTGTAACTATTTTGCATAATTTAATTTTACATGTAAGTATTACATTTATTTTATTATTATTCTACATATTCTTATTATACTGATTTTTATTCTTTTTTTTATAGGAAGCCGATAGGCTAGCCATGAATAGGAGTAATAAAATACAAGACACTTATGGCGTTTTGTTAACAACCCTACGTTATTCTCACGAATCTAGAATATTGACTTTAAAATGCAATAATTTAATAAGATTTGTTCTTGATATATTGCAAAATGAAAAATATTTATTTTATTACAATACGTATTTGACTATATTAAATACTTACGTACTTCCAGTTCGCTTATATCAAATGAATATAGCTTTAGAACTATGGGAAGAATTATTGAGATCCTGTATTAATGCATACAACAACGAGTCTACTTCTGTTAACAAATGTTTAATATTAGATTCTATTCAAATGACAATAGAATATGGATATATGTATGTGAATTTATCATTAGAAGTTAAAAAATTAATACCATTTTTAGGTAATATCCTTTATAATTTACCTATTTGAGTCCCAGTGGTCTCTAAAATATTTCACATTACGTTTTTATAATGGTATCAATTTTCGACAAGAAATCTGAATAAGGTGACCATGCTGCTTGGGACTCAAACAATTAATAACTCTTCGATTTAAAAATAGTTTATCTTTTTACATGAATATTATTTAATATTTCAGTTAATATTTTGACCGATCCTAAAATTCTCAAACAGATGGAAGAGTCTGCGTACAAACTGACTAATACAGTGTGCCATCAAATAGCAACTGAAAATAGAATTGTCCTTTGTCAATTTAGCGAAGAAGTTTTGCCGAAAATAATTAATTTAGATAGTTATGACGACAAATATAAGTTAATGATGTTATTTGTACAAATTCATTATCCTGGAGGAATTAGTCAAGAAAATGATGGAACGTTCGCTTGCGATTGGTCTGTATGGAATAGTATCATTCACAGCATGTACGATATCGTTTGGAGAGATTTTAAGAAAGGAATATCGTCCAAGTATTTTCTTCAATTTGCGAGCGAAGGTTAATATCTTTATTTATTTATAATAAATTATATATATATTATATTGCTTATATATAACGCGTAAAATAATATTTGTATATAAATTTGTTAAAGTAATCAATCAAATTCTACAAAACTCTGGTACCATGTTGAAATTACACAATTTTGTTGAACTTTATTCAAATCCGACCAAACGAAGACGTATTTCCATTTGCGGACCGGTCGATTTGATTGATCATTGTGATATAGAAGAAGGATGGCCTGTAATCCAAATATTAACAGTACTTTATGCAAAATATCCTGAAAGAATGCAATTGAATGACTTGGTACCTCTTTTAAAAATATTGGAAACTTATTTGATGCAGCCGTCTAAATGTGTTAAAGTTGAAGATAGCTTATATGACTTATGTACTGTTCTCATGGAAATAGAACGACTTTTTTTAAACGTCTCAGAAGAATTACAACATGCTGCGAATGTGTATTGGTATAAAATATGGGATATTCTTTTAAGGTATTATATTAATTATATCATATCATATTATGTTATATTAAATAAATTATTTATAAAATTGATTTTCTTTTATAGATCACTTAATACCAATAATAATGAGATTTCAGCTCATAGACTTGCTCAGTGTTTTATAAAACATGGAAAGATGAAACATACAAATTCACTTTTTGCTTTGTACGTATCTCAAACGATCAGATGGTCTTCTAATAGTTTGCAAACATTATTAATGTGTTACGAATATTCATCTATACCAGACGACGTATCAATCTTCAACACAAATTTACATTCTTCGATGTTAAATACGCAATCTGTCAAATTACAATTCCTACAATGGTTGTTAAACACTTTCTGGTTTAAATTTCCTTTTAAGATGTTAATCGAAAGATTGTCTAATATATTGATCGGAATTCCAGTGAGATTTCTTTACGAAAATAATACAACAGTTGAAACGTCTGGATCGACTTCACCTATTTACAAAAATTCCTATTTACAGGAATTTCTATACGAAGATTCGCAACAACCCTTGTCTTATAAAAATATAGAGACGTGTAATTTATCATTAACATTTCAAATAAATTTATTCACAAGTTTAACAACGGAGACTGTTGATTCGCAAGAATATTTACAAGATTCGTTTGCCAAAGCTAACGTAAATATAATTGATTTGAAAGATCTTCTTGTAATATTGAAGAAATATTTGTACGACATCATTAATAAGAGGAATGAAAACCATGATATACAAATGATTGTAATGAAAATAACGTTAGTGGCTAAAATTGCGATTACTGTGAAAAAAATGAATATACTAATGGAAGATACCGAAATTCATTCTATTATGCATATAATAAAAGATTGTTTGGAGTATGCTTATAGTTTACTGAACAGATTGTCCAATACTAATCACGAATATCTCATAAATATGATTGAAGCATTTTTTATATTATTTGAAACGTTTTCTTCCACGTACACAGATATGACTAAGATCATTATTTCTTTGTCGACACCAGAGATATTGCGAAATTTATTTAATTTGCTTAATATCGAAGACGACAATAATTTTACCTACCACGAAATACGCCATTACAATGATCATTTTGATATATTTCAAAATAATTTAAAAAAAAACGAGAATCAAATAAATTACAAAAACCACAGTATATATAGCCTGAACGCTATAAGATTATATACCATAAAAACTTTGACATTATTTTGCTGTATGAATACGGGAAAAGAAACCCCTCAAATTCAACTGAATTTAATGAACAATCTTATGACTATCGATAATTATGATTTATCATTTGTAATAGAATTTAAAATGGCAATGATAATATTGGAGTCGTTAACGCAATGTGACAAAAAGATAATACACGAAAAGTATAAAGATGGTCCACTTTTATTTCTATTTGTTTTATTTAAAAAATGTATAAAAGATGAAAAGTATGTAAGATGCATACTCAAAGTTCTACCTTATTATATCGAATATAGTGCCATATATAATTACGATTTAATTAAATTAATGGATTATTATTGCGGACTTCTGAATTGTACAAACTTTGGTACGACTGTTTATATCGATTTCTTGGAATGTCTTTCGAGAATAATTGAAATTAATCCATTATTAATGAAATATAAAAAGTATATTCAATATGAATACAAATTCTGGGCTGTTATAGAAAATCTAATGACGTACGTTCAGAGTCCTCTTCATATATTAAGATTGAAAGCAATAAAATGTATACAAAAATTATATTCTTCAAAAAGTATAGAATACCAAAAGAAAGTTTATTTGTTTGATAAATTAAAACATGCTGCTAATAATTTATTATCTATTGAAAACAGAAATTATAATTACAAAGCTGATGAATTAGAAACTAAAACGGTAAGCGCTTTGTTAATATTTGGAACTATTATTTGTACATCCAAAACGTTTGAAAACAGTGCTTTGATAGCTATATTAGAATTAATGGAGAATAAACATGTCAAATTAATAACAGTGCAAAAATTATTGGAAAGTATAACTAAGCAAGTGAAACACGTGTTACCTAATGAAGATAATCTGGCATTTATGTTATTGTACTGGTTGAAAAAAGGTCGTACCATAGAAACATTTCCATATTCATTAATTCTATACAAATCTCAAGAAGAATTTTATAAAACTTATATTAATACTATAGTATTCATCGAAATTCAAAATTTCAATATCACCGGTGCAAAACAACTTTGTATTTCTATTGGATACGATTTCAAAATTATTTTTGAAAATATTTTTGCCCAAGTCCTAGCATGGTTACTTTCTGTAATTTGTCAACAAGAAACATCTGTTAATTTTACACATGCAACTAATATGCTCGACGAGTTGATGTTAAATCAAAGAAACTTTGAAACGATCACTACCTTTTCTTACTTATTGGAAAATAACTTCGATAAAATCATTGTAAGCATTATTACGAGATTACACGATGAGAAACATTTTAATGAGATGCTTCAATTAGAATATCAATATCCGCACACTGATCATCCACTCGTTCTTAGTAAAACTGATGCAAACAATTGTATAAAGTGCATAGAAAAATTGTTTATTCCTTGTAAATTACAATTATATCTGATAACCAAAAAGATCAATAAATTACAGAAAATATTGATGAATCTGGTAAACAATATTTACGAAATGACATTTTCCGAGCACAAATTAAAGGCTTTGCATCAATACATTTATTTTTGTACTATAATAATGAAAAAATCAGAATCTGATTATTTCGATTCAATATCGGTTTATCTTATTAGAGAAATTAGTTATAGTTTGATTCATTTTATCAAAGATAAAGATGATATACTCTCGGAAACAGCCTGCAAATATTTTCAAATATTTCTAAAATACATTTTACCCAAACGACACAAGGAAATTGAAGAACATTTGAATTATTATGTTACCATTTTAATTCCTGTTGCCCAATTGGAAAAAACATCTACTGCTATTGATATACTGGAATACTTGATTATCGAACAAAAGGAACTGTTTAGCAATGCGATAGCACAATTAAATATATTCCCTAATCTACCTAAATTTCAACGAATATTGAATGTATACAATTCTTTGAAATATAGAAACGGAAAAGAATACAATTTAGAAGAAGAAATTGAACACTTTTTAAATGCAACAAACCAAAAGATCGTTAACTGTAATATGGAGAGCGTAACATATTTAAATCTTCAGTTATCAATCAAAAGAGATGAATTACAAGAATTGTACAATAAACTGGAAAATAATTCTATGCAAAATTATAATTTATTACATAGATTGATATGCAGACTATTAGAAATAATTAAATCTTCCGATCAAAACATTTCGATAGAAGCTATGAAGTGTCTGGGACAAATAGGTCCTATCGATTTAGGAACGGCTATTCCTTATAACAGAAAAACTCATGTGAAAAAGAATGCAAACATAAGTGATATGTTGACATATGAAATAATAATATTACTAACTGAATTTTTAGTTGATAATGACATCAAATTACGTATAGCTAGTGCTAATGCTTTACATATAATATTATTGTCTTCATGGGGACAAGAAATTGTAAATAAAAAAAATATCAAAGCAATTAAGCAAATGTTGAATGAGTATTCGAAACCTTCGTTACGATTAGATTATATACTTCCATTTATATGTGAAGTAAAAAATGTAAAGAAAAAAAAGATAATCCTCAATGAACTAGCTTGTAATAAATATATTAATAAGAATTATCCTATTTGGATCGACATGTATAATAAGTCTTACGTCGAATGGATCATAGAAACTACATGTAACATGATTGAATGTTTTTCGGGATACTACCTCGAAGATTTAATACCCGTTTGCAAATTGAGCATAGAAATGTGTGAATTATTATTACCAAGAATAATATATTTAATAATATATATTAACAAAGATTTAGCGATAACGGTATCCCATTGCATCAATGGATTTTTCTATTATCATTTCAACAACGAAACCAAATCAAGGATATGTTTATCGCAACACGTTATAAATTGCGACCGTAATATAATATATTTTATGCTGAATTTAGTGAATTATATTAGAACGCAAATAGTTGAAAATATTCCTTTGGAATTAGATTTCATTTACATAGCCAAAGCCGCTCAATATTGTTCTGCTTATTTTACCGCTTTCCTTTATGCGGAATTATCTTGCGAATCGTTGTTGGTAGAACCACATGATTTCAGTAGAGTTAATAAAATTGATTACGTTTACGAATGCGAACCGATACTTGGGAAAATGTTGCAAAATATTCTTAGAGATGTCTCTTTTAAAATTGGAGATCCGGATGCTATCCGCGGTTGTGGCTCTTCCCATTTACAAGATAGTTCTTCTCGCGTTCAACATTACATACAAATGCAAGAATGGGACAAAGTTTTATTAATAAAAGATATCGAAATATCTTCAGGCAATAAAACAGCTGTTGGAGGTATATATTTCATTAGATATATATTAAACATATATTTAATTATTATATTAAATAATCACTATTAATTAATATAATTAACATTTTTTTACAGAGATGATCAGCTCATTACAACAATTAGGATTGCATTATTTATTAGGACATTGTATATCTACGATGAATACATCTGCCCAAGAAATGAGTAATGATATTCAATTGGAATGCGCATGGCGACTTAGTAATTGGGATTTACCTATATTTTCTCAAATTATTCCTTCTTTATGCGAAAACAATATGAAATTAAAATTATCCGAATCGGATTATCATTTGTATCATTTCTACGCGTTAAAATGTTTTAATGAAAGAGATGAATTGGGTGTAGAAAATTCAATCAAGTATGCACGAATCTGTATAATGAAGGCTCTTTCTAATATTAATTTAGGTAAAAGCATACATAACGATATATATAGAGTGATAAAAAAAAAAAGGGTAAATTAATTTTCATTATTTATGAGCGTTCAATATTGTAAGTGAAACTTTTAATATGTCATCAAAAAATTCGCTTTTAATATCGAACGTTTATAAATAATAAAAGTTTATTTGCATCAAAAGAATTGATTTCAAGATCAATGTTAATTAAACATTTCTTATTCTTTTTATCACCTTCTAAATATAAATGCATTTTCTCTCTATCTCTCTCTATTAAATCTCTTATTTAATAATAATAATTTTATGTTGCAGAGAGTAATAAAGAAATTTATGAAAAATTAATGCAACTTCAAATGCTTTCCGAATTGGAAGAATTATGTTTCATAAATTCTGAAGATTATCCTAAAGTAATAGATAAATGGCAAAAATTCAATGTCATGAATTTTAATGAATTTCAATACATCGAACCGATCTTAACACAGAGATCTATTATGTATCAAATAAATGATACGTTATCTAATAATTCGATTATCAGAGATGAACTTGTTAATACGCATATAAAAATTGCTGAAGTTGCACAAAATCAAGGACATTTATCAATGGCTGCACGTGCTTTAGGTACGCGTTTATGGGATCTATAATAATTGGTAATATCAGTTGTATGTATTACTAATACATTTTATTTTTTTTTATTTTTAGGAACTTTAGCGAAACAAAAGGAATTATTTTCAAAATTTTCAAATTTGTTAGATTATCAAGAATCCCTACTGGCATGGAAAAGAAATGATTATGAAATCAGTCGATATCTTTTACGTGAATTAATTCATAGAAAATCTGTAGATCCGGTTTTGCAAGCTCGTGTTCTTCGTATTTACGGAAATTGGATGGCTGAAACGAAATCCGAAAATCCTCAGGTAATGATTGCGAATATATTCTGAATTTACAATATAAATATATATATATATATATATCTTGACAAACTAGAATATTATGTTAACAATATTACAAATTTACAGACCATCATAGATAATTATTATCAAAAATCAATGAAAATAAGTGAGTCAATAAAAACTAAAACCCCTGACGTTATTAAAAATTTACACGATACGCAAGTCACCTTGGCTAGATTTGCAGATGCTCAATTTGAACACGTTAAAATGTATATGAAATCTTCGCAGTTTCAAAGTTTGAAAAAATGTGTAGAATATTCGCGCAGTGTCAACAGATATGATACAAAATTTCAAGACACGGAAATTAAAAAAGCTATGATGTTTAATCAAAAACAAAGTACGAATGATGCTGCTGAATTAGAAAATATCGAAAAGGAAAAAAACAACTATCTTTTAATAGCAGTACAGTAAGTATAAAATAATGATTTCATTGGGAATGTCTTATATGCGACAGACTTCAAGTTTTTCCTTATTTTTCTTTTTTTTCTTCTTTCAATTTATTTCTTTTTCCTTTTAGATATTATTTACTAACATTACATCAGAGCGAAGATTACAATCTGTTGGTATTTAGATTGGTAGCTCTTTGGCTTGAGAACTCAAAGAATGAAGAAGTAAATAAATTATTAGAAGAATACTTGAATGAGATACCGTCGCATAAATTTTTACCGCTTGTACCGCAATTGGCAGCACACATGAACAACACGTTGGATGAATTTTCTATGAAAATAAATGAAACATTGGAACGTTGTGCATTGGATCATCCGCATCATACGTTACCCGTGTTATTGGCATTAAAAAATTTGTACGAAGATTATAAATTTCTTAAAACTAACAAAAATACAAAATTGGAAGAGCCCAGAATATTGGGTGCTAGAAAGCTTCTAAGAAAATTAGCTTCATCTAAGGTATCCTGTATTATTCAAGAAATGGACATTTTATCTCATTCTTTGGTAATGTTGGCTAATTACGAAACGAATAGTAAATCTAAAAGTGAGTTATATTTATTTTCTATTTTATATCATTCAATTTAACGATTTATATTCTTCACCTATTAACATTTATTATTATATGTATACAGATGTTGTGCTATTTAAAATACATAACAGTCAAAAGATTGTAAAGATAAACAATTTTTCGAAAATATATGTACCTACTTTAGCTATTGACGTTAAATGCAATGGAAATTACAATAATGTAATTGGTATCGTTAAATATTTCGATTATTATGAACATGTTGGAGGCGTAAACGCTCCTAAAAAAATTATTTGTCTTGGTACCGATGGAATACAAAGAGAACAATTACTAAAGGTTATACTCGATTATAAAATACCTATATATATGTGCACGTACTTTAAAAATGTTATTAATAATTCAATTATTTTTATTACAGGGTAAAGATGATTTACGACAAGATGCTGTGATGCAACAAGTTTTTAACGTAATGAATAGGCTTTTTGATACAAGCAAAGAAACGAAACGACGTAAATTAAAAATTAGAACGTACAAGGTAAAAATGCATATCATTATTTATATTATATTCAAATAAACTTATATCACGATATACATATTTTCTAGGTAGTACCATTAACTCAAAGATCAGGTATATTAGAATGGTGCCATAATACAACGCCAATTGTAAATATATTAATAGGTTCTGATAAAATTTCTGGCGCTCATCACAAATATAATCCACACGATTATACTGCGCTAATGTGTAGAACGAAGATGCAAGTAAGATCACGAAATATTTCAGACCTTTATACATTTATGTTATGATCTCTTTTTAAAAATAAATAATAATCACTTATACACAAATTTTAGGAAGTCTGTAATAAATCCAACGATATCAAACTGCAACAATTTTTAGAATGTTGTAAACATATGCGTCCAGCTTTTCATCATTTCTTTATGGAAAAATATCCATCCCCTGAGATGTGGTACGAGAAACGATTAGCTTATACGCGCAGGTAAACAGCTTTATAATATTTCAACGTTTAAATTTACTTATTATTAATTAGACAATATTATACAATTTTTTCAGTGTAGCAACAACTTCTATGGCAGGTTACATATTAGGTCTAGGAGATAGACATTTTGGTAATATATTAATGGATCAGCAAACTGCCGAAGTGATTCATATAGATTTTGGTAAGTTTTATATGCGTAACATATTATAATGGTAAAAAAAAACTATAGAATAAATTGTAACAAATCAATCCATTTTAAACAGGTATAGCATTTGAACAAGGTAAAGTATTACCGATGCCTGAAACTGTACCATTCCGTCTTACAAGAGATATGGAAGCAGCAATGGGAGTTTCCGGTGTGGAAGGTATTATGAGAAGAGGATGCGAAGAAGTATTGACAGTATTACGGGATCAAAGACAAATAATTATAACGCTATTACAAGTGCTCCTTTACGACCCCCTTTTTATTTGGGCTATGACTCCTGCGAAAGCGTATACTCTTCAAACTGGTAATACAGCGATGTCTTCCGAAGATGAAGAAGGTATAAAATCAATTTTATTTTTAAAAATATAATTAATCATTTTGTCTATAAAACATCAAAGTATAGTTTAATATTTTTCTCATTTTTGAATAAACTCTTCTTTTTCTAATAGTTTACAGCGAAACAAATAAAACTGCAGAAAGGGTACTCTTGAGAATAGAACAGAAATTGCAAGGTATAGAAGAAGGTTTGGTATTCAGTATACCTGGTCAAGTCGAACAACTGATACAGCAAGCACGTGATCCTTCTAATTTATGTCGTTTGTTTTCTGGATGGCAAGCATACTTGTAAACTTTTTATGTATTATAATTATTTTTACATTATAAAACAAAATTAAAAAATATATTTTTTTAGTAAATATATTTATATTAGTATTACTAATTCAGTCTTACATTTAATTTTCTAAGAACTTTGTATGAAATAATGAATTATCTATCGAATTTATTTACAAAATTGTTAAATGTCTCGTGTATATTATTCTTTTTATAAAATATAAAATTTAATACTTTAACCTAACTATTGTAATGAAAGTATTCTTCTATGATGTACAGGAATCAACGTGCATCAAATACGACCACTATAAAATTAATATTGTATTATTATTATTCTTGTTTTTGTTTTTAGTTTAAATACGAAATAACGAAAATGCTTACGTCGTTTTGTACGTTTTTTGTACATAATTCTGTAGCCACACTCCCGACATCGGATTGGATCCTTAGGACGAATCTCATTATCGTGATGACATTCTAGAAACATGAATTATATTTCTAATATTAGAATATAATAATAAAAACAATGAGTAGAATAAAAGATTGCATTATGATAAAGATAAAAACAACGTGCCAATGTTTTTGGTTAGTATTTATGAAAAACATAAATAATATTAATATATATATATATATGAATATAACGTACCTCCACAAATATATACCATCGCTTGTTTAGGAGCTGAATCAGTTTTAGTACTGGCGGTATCCATTGCAAATTATTTTATTTTTGCAAAAAGAAAATCCAAACACGATTACACTGTTTATAGTTTTTACACGTTTTTATATATAATATAGCCCTCTATAGATGTCGCGATAGTAACGTGTATTGTAACGTTGTTCGCTGTTCGTGAGCACGCTTGTATCTCGCTCGGTGGTTGGGACGGAAGAGAGTGAATAGCAGCGGTTGTTCATATACGTGGGTTTTTTTAGTTCTTTAGTTTCGCCACTAGAGGCGTGACGGCCACAGTATTAAAATCATTCGAGTGATCTGATTGGTGTATTTTACCAACAGTTATTAACATCATTCCAGTGATTTGATTGGTAGATTTTACCAAATACGTAATAATAGATATTTTCAAAATATTTATTGGACATATTTCTCTTAAATTAATATTTTTTAATACCTCGATGAATAGTATTATTAATAAATTTGACTTTAAGAGTATAATGGTATAATTCCAATAAAATGTAATTCTAATATATGAAAGCATATAGTTGAAACATGATCAAACTGTTATACGAATTAATCATATATATATAAATTTTGTTAAATAATAAAATAATAAAATGATTGAATTGATATCGAATAAATTTTATTAGATTATTTAAACGAGGTACTTAATATCGTAGATACGATACTGAGATTCGGGCCCGCCATTTTATTCAACTCATCGCTTTGGTGACTGGTAGTAACTAGCTTTGTGACAATTTGATTGTGTTGTGGATAATAAATTGAATTTTTAATATTAACGTGTAATATTTATAACGGTAAATAACATTAAATAGAATAAATAATTGAAAATATATTTATCATTTTTTATATTCAAGTTAACCGTGTAACTGACGTTTTCATTTTGCCCTGTCATTCTCCATTAACCTGATTTATATTATTTTAGCTGTAATTCTTACATTATAACTATACAGTTATTCACGTATTTATATTTCTTTCAATATAATTATTGCTAAAATAATGATTATATCATATATTTTATAATCAAATAGTTTAATTATTTAAATAGTTACAGTGTTGTTTAACCTCATTTTTGATATCTTTTATTTTTAAATTAAATATTTGTTTAAAAGAGCGTTATATTTAAATATCATATTTAATGAATATTATTTATTTTCAGATGTTTTTAACACGTTCAGAATATGATCGCGGTGTAAACACATTTTCTCCGGAAGGGAGATTGTTTCAAGTTGAATATGCTATCGAGGCCATAAAGCTTGGTTCTACAGCAATTGGAATAGCCACATCGGAAGGTGTAATCCTGGCAGTTGAGAAACGTATAACTTCTCCATTAATGGAACCAACGACGGTGGAAAAGATTGTTGAAATTGATAAGCATATAGGTTGCGCAGCTTCTGGTTTAATGGCTGATTCTAGGACCATGATAGACCGTGCTCGTGTCGAATGTCAAAATCACTGGTTTGTTTATAATGAAAGAATGACAGTGGAGTCAACGGCTCAAGCAGTGTCGAACTTAGCTATACAATTTGGAGACAGTGATGATGATGGAAGCGCAATGTCTAGACCTTTTGGTGTAGCAATGTTATTTGCAGGCATCGATGAGAAAGGTCCACAATTGTATCACATGGATCCATCAGGAACATTTGTTCAATTCGATGCAAAAGCCATTGGTTCTGGAAGCGAAGGTGCTCAGCAAAATCTTCAAGAAGTGTATCATAAGGTAGGCAACAATTTAAACATTTATCCAAGCAAATGAATTATTAATCAACATTAAATCTAATTATATTTTTTTGTTCGTTCAATTACAGTCAATGACATTGAAAGAAGCAACGAAAGCTGCGTTGACAATATTGAAACAAGTTATGGAAGAAAAATTAAACGACACTAACATAGAGGTGATGACAATGACACCGGAAAAATTATTTCATATGTTTACTAAAGCGGAATTACAAGAGGTGATTAAAGACATCGCGTAAAATACTATTAGATTATATTAACTAATTGTTATGAGTTAAACCGAACACGTTTGTATGCAATTAATTATTGTAAATTGTGTCTACAATTTAAACATCTGGTAAAATGTGCGTTTATATGTTAAACAAAATTTTCCTATATAACTTTATTTTCTTCTTTTATGACAATATTAATAGAAGAAAAGAATCGAGCAAATATATATTTAATCTTATTTATTTACAAAAGAAACATTTCATATCCTCGTATTCCAACTTCCATTACTATACACTCCAATATATTCGATTAATTTAAAAACTAACTCTCGTATTATTTTAATCCAGTTGATCGACAATTTACCGACATCCAGAGAAGACTCTATGAAATCCAAATCCGATAGCAGCACTCCTGTCCTTAGACCATCGGTATCCATAAACGAATAATATTCTAATTTTGTGTCCTCCACAATAATCCTTATATCTTTCAATTAAATAATAAACATTATTATCATCGAGAATATAAACACGCGATAACATTATTTTCATCTATCGCAAATCTAACAAAATAATAAAACGTTGTTCTCTCGAACGAAAAGAAAAAAGATGGAGGGCAGGAAGAAGACGAGGGGGAGAGACAAAATAAAAAAGGAGCAAAAGAAGATTTCAAATATTAACCATTAAAATTAACAAAAAAAAAAACAAGAAAGAGAGGAAAAAAAAACAATATACAGAATATAATAGAACTTCATGATGATAGGCGAAAAGTTTTAGAATATAAAAAAACCAACCCCTACGTCGGATATACTACATATATCCCAGTGAAATTTGGAGAGATGATGGATTCGCAGTGAAAGAGGTGAAGAGGAGGTGGAGAAGAAGGAAGAGAAGGAGGTGATAGGTATAGGTGTATAGTTATAGGTATAGATAGATATAGATATGCTGTCACGATGGGTGGTTTGGTTTCGATTAAAAGCGCCTGCTGTGAATGCGCGTATCCGAAATCAATAATTAATTTTGCTCGGTTTGCAGGAGACAAGGGAACCAAAGCGAGTGTGAGAGAGAAAAAGAGAGAGAGAGAGAGAGAAGGGACAGATAGATAGAATACATAGAGCGAGGAGGTAGAAGGGGGATGAGGTAGAGAAGATGAGTAAAATGAAAGAGAGAGAGAGAGAGAGAGAGTTCGATGAAAATGGATGGAAGAGAGCAGCAGAGAGTGAACGCTCGGTACGCCGCTGCGATGTCCCGATAAAACGTCCTCCCTTTTTATCCCTTGGCTCCCGGATTATTGGATATTATTCCATTTCGAGCGTTCAATCCCAGTACGATTCGCTCGCTCGGATTCCCACGGGGGAATCCCTCTCTTTCTCTCTCTCTCTCTCTCTCTCTTTCTCGTCCAGCCATTCATCGCGGTAGAAACTCTCTTAAAATATCTACATATCTCCTCTAACTACTCTCTGTCATTCTCTGTTGAGAACTTGTCATGCGCACTAAATTTCTACCTCCGTTGTAACTGTCAGAAATGAATCGACCCCAGTATCCTATGAAATATATATATATATGTATATATATGTATATGTATATATGTATTGTTTAAATTTATACAAAAATATTTTGTCTCAGTCGTGTCAATTAATTTCGGCATTCGATATTTGTTTTTTCTTTTTTCTTCTTTTTTTTTGTTCTCTTAACAAATTGTTATATTTATATTTATTAAATATAATTAAATAATTATTAATTGTTCGATTATTTTGTTTAGGGGGTAACCCATTTTTCTAACATAATTGTCGTATTCATTGACAAGATACCGAGAGTATTCGTTTCAATGAATTTAATATCAATTAATCGAAAATTTATTCTCTACACCTAAGACACGACGACAGATTCCTAATTCGTAAAATTAACGGAATCTCGTGTCATAAAACATAACGATATCGATAAAAATGATTAATAGATAGGAGGATCAAGATGTTTCAACTTTAACTGTTAATTAAAACTTTCATTTTGTATCTTTAAAAATGAAATTTAGAAGAAGAAAAAGAAGAAGAAGAAGAAGAAGAGATGATCAAGAAAAGCTTCTTCTATCTATCTATATCTTTCTCTCTCTTTCTCTCTCATGACTGACATAGATGAAGAAGGAAAGAAGGAAGGAAGGAAATGGAGAAGGTCGAACTCTCTGGTAGAAGGACTCTGTAATTAACTGCGACGAGAAGAGAGAGTGAGTGAGTGAGAGAGAGAAAGAGAGAGAGAGAGAGAGAGAGAGGAAGGATAGTCCCATTTGAGTCTCAGGGAATCCCTAGGGAGCTAACCCCGTCATATCAGACGCCAAACACTCAGCCTCATACCCGATCCTGGAGTAGCAACGCCGTTATCCCGACCCAAATCCATCCTTGCCCAACCTCCTCCTCCTCCTCCTCTTCCTCTTCCTCCTCCTCCTCCTCCTCTACCTCCTCTCCATTACGTTCAACTTTCGCTACGATAATTGCCTTCGCTTCACGCCACCGACACCACCACCATTTATCGACTTGGATAAGAACGTTAAGCTTCTCACCATTTCACTACCCTCTCCCTCTACCATTTCTCTAATTCTTTTTTTCTTTCTTTTCTATCTCAATCAAACTAACGTTTGAACAAAAGTTTGATCTTTACACAACCAATTGAAATAATATATATTTAATTTGATTTAATATTAATTATATTTAATAATGTAATGTATAATTTATATAATATAATATATATGATATTATAAGTAATGTATAATAATAAGAACGTTAAGGAGCGTAATGATAATCTTTCAATGTATTTAAACGAATGTGTAAATTTATATTTTTCACGAAAAGCATAATGTTTTCTTTTTCTTTTGACATTAATACTTATAAAATGCTTTGATATTCGATTAATTTTGTTATTTTAAACCTAATTATTTTGATGATGATTAGGATTAAATCGTATTTCTTAATAATATCTTAATAAATGAAAATAAATCATAAAATTTGTAATAATGTCGAGTCTATGACTACTGGGTAATGCAATTTTTCAAATAATTATATAATATTTGAATCATGAAATGAATAAGTTCAAAGGATAATATGCATTATAATATAATTGTTCTTTAAAACCCTTTATTGTATTTATATATCCGGAAATTATAATTATAATATTATTGATCAATCTTGAACAAACCTTAACGATAAAACAAATACAATAACAGTTATGAATATTAACAATTTTGAAGTT